GGCGTGATCGGTGATGAAGGATGTATGCACCTCGTCAGGTGGGTACATCATTATCTGGTTGTACCTGGAGTAGGCGTCGAGGAAACTGAGGAGGGCGTGCCCAGACGCTCCGTCGACCAGCCTGTCAATGGTCGGCAAGGGGTATGAGTCCTTGGGGCATGCTCTGTTCAAGTCGGTATAGTCGACACACATCTGCCACTTCCCTGAGTTCTTTTTTACCAGCACCACATTTTCCAGCCATGTGGTGTACCTGACCTCATGGATGAAGCCAGCGTTCAGCAACTTTTGTGTCTCAGTGATGATGGCCTCCCGCCTCTTGCCACCGACTTTCCTCTTCCTCTGGGCCACTGGCTTTGCCTCCTTATGAATGGCTAGCCTGTGATTGATGAAGTCAGCATCTATGCCTGACATGTCAGCACTGGACCATGCAAAGAGGTCGGCGTTCTTAAGGATCTCAACTTCGAGCTGTTACCGTAACTCCGGGCTCAACTGCCTGCTGATCTTCGTGCATTGCCCCGGGAGTTTTCTGATCTGGAGGTCATCGAGCTCGTTGATGGGACTCGGTCGTTCATCGTGGGAATCGGACCTCAGGTCGAGGTCAGTGATCTCCACGTGGGTGATGTGAGCCACTGTAAGAGGATCACTCTTGCATCGCTCGCCGGACGAGGAGATTTTCACACTCTCGGTGTAGCACTGCTGAGCTGTCTTCTGGTTTGCCTTGACAGAAATAATCTTCCCACCACTCCCTGGGAATTTCATGGTGAGGTGTGGGGTGGACACCACTGCTCCGAGTTGATTCAAGGTCGGCCTCCCAATGATTATGTTGTAGGAAGTGTTGGCTTCCACGAGGAGGTATCGGACCATAATCCGTCTTGTGTCTGGAGAGGTCCCGAAAGTTGTTAGCAGGTCCACGTATCCCCGAGTGTGTACTCGCTCTCCTGCAAAATCGACTAGGGGCTCTGTGTGAGGTTGGATGAGAGAGTGAGGGATGTCTAACCTGAGGAACGTCGGCCAATACAGGACGTCAGCCGAGCTCCCTTGGTCAATCAATGTCTTGTGGACCTCCCAATTAGCTACCTCCACGGAGATGACCATGGGGTCATCCTGGTTGGGGCTGACGCCAGCGTAGTCGTCGTCGGTGAAGGTGATCGGCGGTGAGCTTTGGTGTGAAGCTGAGGTAGTGGAGTGGACGCTGTTGATATTGCGCAGGTGTCTCTTCCGGGCCGAGCTGCTAGCGCCTCCCCTTACGAAACTAGCTGCAATTGTGTTGATTACTCCCCGTAGGGGAGCTGACCCTGTTTCCTGGCTTACCTCGGCCTGCACTGCTCCACCGGCGTTTTGCTGAGAGCCAGAGGGTTGGTCCGTGCAAGCTCGACTACAACAAGGATAATTGGAGTGTGTATCCTAACACAGGAACAGGTGGGGTGGGAAAGTGGGGGACCCGCATTTTAGCCAGATGGGAATAGTAGTGTTTGCTTCCGACTATGCGGGAATTTCTGCTGAGCCAATCTCTACTCCGGATACCGCTTTACCCTACGGTGAAATATTCAGCGTTGGATTGGACGGGGTTATCAAAAAGTACATAGGTGAGCACAAAGAACAATGTAAGGGGGTTGTTGGTTCATATTGTACAACATTTCAAATTCTTGTACATTTCAATTTAAAAAAAAAAATGAAAAATGAATGGAAAAGCAAAATAAAATAAAGAATAAAATAATTTTGGTGTAAAGTTTGTGGTTGTTTTTCATCATGGTTTTTAGATGGAGGAGAGTAAAGTGTCAAGTTCTTAATATAGTTTTGCTCTCTTTACTCTAAGGGCTTTTGTTATCTTGAAAAACCAAGCTTCCTTTTCTTAGCCTAGCCACATTATAACCAATGATAAAGTCCTTGTGATGTTTGAATGCTTGTGAAATTTCTTGGCCTTTCTTGAAACAAAAAACAATTAAATTGTGTGAATTAAGGGGTGGAAAAGAGACAAAAACTAACCCATATACATTAGTGTGATTGAGTTAAACACTTAATCTAGTGAGGGTTGATTTCTCTAGCTGGTCAATGGAAACATTCTGCCATGGTTGTTAGTCTTTCATAAAATAATTGCATTCATTCTTGTTATAATTACATTGCAAAAACCATAGTTCAGGTTGACAAGGAGACTCATTTTCTCTTGAAAATAGTGGGATGAAAAGCTTGCATGAATGACATTCTGATAAATCTATAAAAAAAAAAATCAATTCTCAATTGATCTGCGTAAACTGATTAAATACCTTTGGGTCAAGTTGCCTTTTGCTTGAGGAAAAACAAAGTTTAAGGCTGGGGGAGTTGATAATGTTAATTTTCACTTAGAATTATTGATCATTTATTTTAAAAAAAATCAACTTATCTTTAGCTTTTAACTAGTTTAGTCTTCCTTTTTTTTGTAATTAATTGAATATTGGTTATTATTCTTTGACTATACCACCAATTCCCATTTTTTGTCTAATATATGGTTAGGAAGTAAGGGAAGTAAACCAAGTGAGAGAAAGTGCATGAAAGTCAAGAAAGAAGAAGATTTGAAGAACAAGTTGAAAGCTTCCAATGCTAGGCGGTAGTCTACTAGCGTTCGACGCCACTCAAACAGAGAGCACCATGCTCTCCGACATTAGGCACCACTCAACCTAAGCCCAACATGGTCTTGGGGGAGAGTCACTTGCACTCCAACGCCGGGTGCTGCATTTCTCACTTGCAACACCACCTTGGCAAAAAGCTTTTCTTTTGCATCCTAATGTTCCCACCTATAGCATGATTCAACTTGTGATGGGCGCCATTTTTATGGCATGACATTTTTAACTCACTTTTTCCCTTTCTCTTCAAGGGATTAGGGGCATTCTTCAATTGGGCTACTTCTTGGACAAGATTTAGGGCACTCTTCCTTGGCTCTCCACCTTTTCACCATGCATCTTGTTTTCTTTTTGTGATCATGACAATGAGGGGCTAAGTCCATTTGACTGGGGTTAGATATAACCAACTAAACTTTCATGTAATTTGTACTATTATGTGTGTGTATGCGTGTCTTTCCATTTCAATGTTAGTGTTTTGTTTCTACTCTTAATGCTTGTTGTAGAGTGATCAATCATAACTTGATATTTGATTCATTAGGTATTAGGAAATATCTTTTGTAATCTTGAACTGAAACAAAATATATACCTAGTTAAACTTGTATCTAGGGATAGAACTATTAGACTCATTAGTTGTCTTAAACCTTTGTTATTGATGCAAGTTTGTTTATTAAGTATTCAAGGAGTTGATGCTTAATAACGAAACTTAGGCTTTTTCTTCTAAAGAATTAAGGCTTGAGAAAACTATTAGGTTGACATTAACATTAAATGCGAAGAAGATTGAATGATTATAAGTATGAGAGTGAGGTTCAGTGAAATCTAATCCCAATATAAACATTCCATATCATTTTTTAATCTAATCTGCCTTCTAACTATTTATTAATAAAGTATCAAAAAGAGCTTTATTTTCTCTTGCATAATTTTTATTTCTTTTACAAATCAACACCCAATTTATGAAAATATTCGTTTATTTAATTTAATTATATAAATTGTACCAATTTTCATATATTACACAAATCTTTTGAAAAAATAATAAAATATTTTCTACTAGCTAGTTGTCGACTAATACTAGTACGTTCGCCATAATCGCTTAACAACACTCCTAAATTTTATAGTAATCCACCATAACCTCAAATGTTTAGTTGAAATCACGTGTTTTTTTGTGCCTACCAATCAAGTGTTCTTAGTGAGTATAATTTGAGGACGCACGTTTAGTTGAAAGACAAATTTCCCCATTCAAATCGTTTGATCAAATAACCGAATTTTGAAATCGTCTCAGAGTTAGATTAGTCTAAACTTGTTCGATTCATCACGTGACAACATAGATGATAGAATGTCAAATGCTTATACTAGATAATTAGTGTTGATAATTATGTTTTAGATGAGATCTTATTTAACTTCAGTTGAATGTTTATAAATTTTTCTTATTTCAAATAAAAGAACTCACCGAAAGCTATCGATTATTTCAAATAAATGTAAACACTTATTTATCGGTTAGAGTCATTGTAAAAAATTATAATTTATTTCAGAGATATGTTGTTGTGATTCTCAAAAATGAACTTCCACCATCAACACTGTACTAAGCTAATCTACTCTTTAGAAAGTGTGAAAGAAATTGCAGTAAAAGACTAAAACTGATAAAGGAAAGCGATAAAATTGACAGAATAAATATATTTCATTGACAAATTAAAAATATTACTTCGTGCTTTCTATTATTTAAAGAGGATGATAATAGATAGTCATTTTCATTATTCTATCCTATGCATTACACCCACTTTTCAATGGTGAGCAGTATTTTAAAACTAACATTACTAAAATCTATTTGATTTAGTAATTGGTTTTAATTGATGCTAGATTTAAATATGACTTACTGTAAAATTAAACACTTTAAGAATTCCAAATATCTAATACAATTGTGCAACTAACATGCTGCATGCACATTAATTAAGTTCATTCTCTCGGATCTATATTACCATTGGTTCTTATTAATCACTTAAATTAAATATTATATAATTCATGTACATAATCACAGGGTCAAATTATGCAGATTTACAAAACAGTCTCACATTCTTGCTTTTTCTTGTAGGTACCTCATGCACAAGGCATTGGCTAGGAAGGTGATTTTTATTATTCTATCAATATCATATATTTGATATCAATTAATAAATTTGATATTAGAAAAACAAAAACCCTAGCATAGAAATTTAGGAATTGGGAAAGAGAGTAAAATACAGAGGAGATCATTTTGTGGGGGCCCACATGATGGGAATCTGCAGATCAAGTAACAGAATGAGGCCTGTTTTGGTCATTTCCCACACTCACACCATTCCATCTATGGCATCTGCTCACTACATTTCAAAAAGCCTTCACCAAGATAATTCCACTTAACACAACCACCCCCAAAGACTCTTATTTATCTTTTCACAAGAAACATTTCTATCAATTTTTTCTTAACTTTGGATTAAGAATCAGTAATTTATTTGCTGCAAGGTTCGCTGCTTTATTTATTTATTTATTTATTTTTCTTCTTCTAAGCTATGTTATTACTATCTATACCAGTAATCATTGCTTCTCGGTTTTGTTCACTCATCTCACTTTCTTGGCAGGAACATAGCCACAAATATAGAGACAAGATCAGTGTGTGGTCCAAAAATGTACGAAGAAAGTGGTTGCTTTGATCCCAATGCAATGATGGCACAGGGCACAGAAGAATGCTTCCCCCAAATGGTTTCGGTGTCAGAGGCAGCACTTGAGGCAGTTATGACTGCCACTGCAACACAATCTCAAAGCATGTTTGCGGTGGAAAACTTACCCTTACCCTACTCATACTCCAGTGGAGAAGATGCTGCAATGGAGATCAATGCACAAAAACCATACAATCATATCCATAACTTGAAGACCCAGTTAGTGGAATTGGCGAATCATGGTGATGATGGTTCAAGTCATGAGCTTTATTCCTTTCCCCTCCAACACCAGAATCATCAATTTCCTTATCCCACACCAACACCAGATCTCCTTAACCTTCTCCACTTGCCAAGAAACTCCCTTGAAAACCCAACCAATAGCACAAACATTTCCTCTCTTTCCTATGACCCTTTCTTGCATCTCAACCTGCAACCACCTCCCCAAGCTGCACTCAGAGAGTTGCTTCCACACATGCCAGCTCCAAGAAATGATTTTGCATTTGAAGGAAGTGGAGTTGGCTTTCATCAAGATTTTGGAAATGAGTTCACTCAAGATGTGAGCTATGTAGGGAAAAAGAGAGGGGGCAAAAGGACCAAGCTGTTTACCAGTACCACTGAGAGACAAAGGAGAGTGGATTTGAGTAGTAAATTTGATGCTTTGAAGGAACTCATCCCAAACCCCTCCAAGGTACCATTTTTTCATCCCAACATTGATTAATTAATGTTATAGTCTCTTCGGATGTTCGGATATAGTTTATAACAACTTGTGAAAATTTTTCTATAAAAAATAAAGAACCTTTTTTCTAATGTTACAGTCTGACTTACAAGTTTATGAGAATTTTTTAAAAAAAATTATGTAAAAAATAAAGAACTTTTTTTAATGTTATAGTATGTTGGAATATAAACTTATAAAATATTTTATGTAAAAAATGAATTACTTTTTTTATAAAGAAATTTTTTTAAAAAATACTTATATACTATGATTTTTTGAATGTAATCAACAAGTGGTTGATTTTATATTTTGTTTGGGAAACCAAGAGTGATAGAGCATCGGTGGTGGGAGATGCTATTGACTATATTAGAGAACTTTTGAGGACAGTGAACGAACTGAAATTATTGGCGGAGAAGAAAAGGCACGAGAAACAAAGGGTGATGATGATGATGAGGCACAGGGTTGAAACTGAAGGTGAGTCCAAGCTTGAAGCAGTTGGTGACCCAGATGATGGTTCCTACAGTGAAAGCTTGAGAAGTTCATGGATACAAAGGAAATCCAAAGACACCGAGGTTGATGTGCGCATTGTTGACAACGAGGTAACAATTAAGCTTGTTCAGAGGAAGAAGGTCGATTGCTTGGTGCATGTCTCACACGCTCTGGATGAACTTAACTTGGATCTCCAACATGTTGCTGGTGGCCACATTGGCGATTTCTGCAGCTATCTCTTCAATACCAAGGTTTTTGTACATGCAGAAATGGTTGTGTATATTAATATTAATTAACTATATGTATGTGTGTTTTTGTGTTCAAATAGCATGATTATTTTTGTGGTGGTGCAGATATGTGAAGGTTCCTCAGTTTATGCGAGTGCCATAGCCAACAAGGTCATTGAGGTCATGGACGCAAGTTTTGCAGCAGCTTGAATATGTTATCACTTTGGATCGCTTCAGCACCAGATTGTGCTGTGGTTCTTATCATGAAACTACTCGTTTGATATTTTTATTCTTGTTTAGTTGTTATTTTTCCTCTTTATTTATTATCTATTCCTTAAAGTTGACATAGGTTCAATCGGTATTTGGTAGACATATATATAAACAGAAACAAGAACTATATAAACTCAAATGATGTTCTTCTTTGAAAAAAAAAAAATTAAATGTCTTAGAGAAATTTATGAAAGATGTATACAAATTTAAGTTGAATTCTCTTAAAGACCACTTTCACAAGTGGTCCATGGGTTTCTCCTCATTCACACATTGGGCGCGTTTTAGGAGCTATGGAAGGGATTCCCGGAGCTTGGAGTCGTTCGTGTGTGGGTCTTTCCTTCGGTTCTTCATTTCTCTCTTCATCTCTATTTTGTATTTACCCTCATTGTTTTGAGTGGTTCTACCCATTGTTTTGTGGGGTTAGATGTAACCAACGAATTCTATTGTAATCCTTACGTTTTCAATGATATATATATATATATGTTGTTCATTCATTGTTGTGTTGTTTCTATTCTTAATGCTTGCTTTGGATTGATTCTCCTTTGCATGATATATGTTCCATTGGGTGTTAGAAAATAACCATTGAAACTAGCTCTGAAACAAATGCTTAGTGGGAAATGTATCTAGGAATGGAGCTTGGCCCATTAGTAGTCTTAAACCCTAGCCCGTAATGCGGGTGTAGATATTGGGTACTCAAGGAATTGATATCGGGTCATCTTGCGCCCGGCGTAGTCACTCTTCTCTGCTCCTTAGCTTCTTAGGTTTCCAATCCTATGGGTCTTCAATCCTCAAGTCTTTAGCTCAATACCTGCACAAAAATGAGGTGTATTAAGGTATTGTTAGCTAAATTTGGGTTAGTTATATCTGCACACAGAATGGATCAAAAAGAGAACAATTATATTGCAGTGGTTCAAAGAATGAGTAAAATTGTTCATTAAGTCTTGTCCAAAAAGAGGTATAATTGAGACTTAACAGACACCCACTTGTGTCAGAGACAAGTGGTAGGCTTCCAATTGTGTGGGAAACAACTGGTTAGATGTCAACATTAGAGGGGAGATAAGACATCTCATGGTCTATTCAAGACTCTAACAAATCACATGACTTTGTCTAGACACACCTTTGATATCTTGTCATGTGGCAAGCTCCCATTGGTCTTTTTTAGTTTTAGGATAGTCATATTTTTAGAAGGAAAATTCAAATTCCAAAATGTAACTAGAGTTGATTATCTTATGTACAAGTTGACTAACCTTGGTTGCACTTTTTTTTTTGAAAAAGGGTAGATGTGGTATAGTATCACTATGAGAAGGGGGATCCTAACTAGGCTAGCACCCTGCTTCCCATCAATCATATGCTTCACATCAATAGTTCTAATATTAAAAGAAAAATTAAAAGTACATAGCAGGGGTACCAAACCAAAACGACTCACAAAACAAACAAAAAATGCAAAGAACATTAACCAAAGATAAAACTGAAACAACAAAATTGCACATACATAATAGCCACCTACTCATAGACTTTACATCAAGACTAAACTAGAAATTAGGAATCGAAAGTAGTTAAGAAGAAGCAACTCTAATTCAGGAATATTTAGATGATTTTGTAGCCCTTAATCTAGTTCTTGGTCTAGACACTGAAGGTTTCTTGTGACTTTGAAATTTAGCCTTTTGAGAGGGTTGATTAACTTCCTTCCACATATATCTACTCTTTGCAAGGATCTTGAAATCTTGTTGGGCAGAGGGAGTAAAACTAGATAGCTCTTGTTGAACATTATAAAAGTCAGCTATTCCATTAATACATGGATCTGACAAAAAGCTACTCACACTTGGGGCAGTGGTTCAAAGAATGAGTAAAATTGTTCATTAAGTCTTGTCCAAAAAGAGGTATAATTGAGACTTAACAGACACCCACTTGTGTCAGAGACAAGTGGTAGGCTTCCAATTGTGTGGGAAACAACTGGTTAGATTTTAAACTGTGTAAATCACATATATAATGCTGTGAGTTAACATATATGGTGAGAGGATTTTAAAAGGGCTATTCGTTGAGGAAATTTTATATCTAATATGTTTGGTATTATATATATATATATATATATATATATTATAATAAATATGTCATTTAATATCATTTATTTATTAAGATTATAATTAAGCTCTTATAATCTATTAATTATTTTTTTTATTCAAATGTTATTTTTTTTCTTTTTAATCGATATAAAAAATTAAAGACATAAAGATATTTTTAGTCCATATAAGTTAGTTATTTTTTTTTTATTTCTGTAACTTTTTATTTTTATTTTTTATCTCTCTAAAATTGAAATTTTTATTTTTAGTTCTTAATATTTTGTGATTTTTGTTAATTATTTAATGTTTATAATATTGTTAAGTGTTTATTTTCGTCGACACTCATTTGTGTTTGATATCATGTTTATATGTAATAATTTTAAATTTTTTTAAATTTTAAAATAAATATTATTTATTTATCTTAAAATGAACATTAAAAACTAAAATTAGTCACTTTAACAATATTTTATAAGGTTTCAAAATCAAAATTTAGTGGCTTTGAAGGAAAAAAAAAATAATGACAAATTTTAGAAAAAAAAAATAGTAAATTACCTGGATTACAATGCCAAAAAGGGAAAAGAACATGTTGAAAGAGGAAAAGCAAGAAAGATAACTTGCAAAAAATGGATTGCCACATGAACTGTAATAAAAACGTAGACATGCCAAATTGCATGTGCAAGGGATGCTTCCCTTATTGACCATCTCAGCTATGCTGCAAGTGTCAAGTGGTGCGGTTTAGTTTTTGGTAATATATAGCAAGTCTCCAAGAAGGAACTTCCGCAGGACGACTTGGGAATTATACTTGACTGTCGCTCCTTGATTTGTTGTCAGTGTCATAAACCAATGAAAAAGGGGTCTCATGGGTAGAGGAGTGGGGTTTAGTGTGAAAGGACCACGAGACACAGTGCAACTCTTCTCGCCACTTAGCCTTTCTTTAAGCCAAACATTTCTTCAATCCATGGATTGAGGATGTTCAATCAAAGTGAAGTTGATCCGAATGTGCAATTGTTTGCATAATGTCCGAAATTGGGTACTAGCAAACTGTGTAAGTTAGCGTAAACTCAATGAATATAGAAGATAACTTTTTACCATGTCAAGATATTTGCCTTAAGTGTGAATCTTTAGCTTGATATGTATCGAGTACCTATAGCTGGGAGTCACTGCGGACCACCAAATCCCCCATTTCTTTGGCTAATACCATGCCATTGTGAGAAGTGCTTCATACTCAACTTGATCGTTTGCTTGCCCAAAAATTGAACCTCAATGATTGTTTTATCAGCACCATCTAGTTCAGTATATATAACTTTGGTGTCATTCCTTGTAAGTTTGATGCGCCATCTACGATAGAATCCAATGTTGGATCGATTATAACGTTCAAGGCAGATATCTCAATTCGACCACAAAATCAAATAGGACTTGACATTTGATTTATATCCTCGAGCTTCGTAGGCTAGGTTGATCCAATTCCGGCAATTTTATTGACCACTTCACCATGCCACCTACCATGATTTTAAATTGCAGTTGCGGTCGCAGTTGTGATTATTGCGGTTGCGGGTATTATGAATATTACGATGTGGATTACGTTGCGGTATGAAATTATTAATTATTTGTACTAAATATAAAAAAATTATAATTATCGATATATATTTTATTTTTAAAGATTTATACATTTTTTTTCCTTTTTTTATAAATATTTTATTATTTTAATGAATACTTTAATTTATTTTAAAATTAATTTAAAAGTAAGAGAAACACAATAGTGGTTAGATTAATTCTCACTTAATATTTGTCATAATTTCTCAAAAGTAGATTGTCTCATTGACACAAATAAAAAACTTAAAGGTACACACATTAGACAAATTTCAAAAAAAAGGAAATGGCTTGACATAAAGTAATATGATTGCCCACAAGTTTCATTGTCATCAATTATCTGAGAAGTAATGTCACCCTTCAGAGATGCATTTCACTACAAGGGAAAAATATGAAATTTTTTATTAATATTGTAAAACTATAAAAAGCATGAATTTTTTTTCACAAGTAAAAAATTATATATAATAAATTTTTAACTCACATGATACTTATTACCACATAGTAGAGTGACGAGGATGATCATAGCCTCCACTCTCGCTTTGGCTATCCCCTTGTGTGGCTCTTTGTCCAAAAACAATCAAAAAATCCACCACTTTGTTGTTGATAATAAAGATCATTATGATTCATTGATGGTTGGTGGTACGAGGGAACTTGGTCACTTGCATATTGATTGTATGCATTAAAATAAGGATATTAATAAACTGATGGTGGATAGTACCCTTGACTACTTTTTGAAGAATCATCAATATTGAAGTCACTAAAACTTTGTTCAATATGAGAAGATGAAGAATTTTTACATGGCACATTTTGTTTATTTTTTCCTCTTCTAACTTGTGAATTGTCCCTTCTATTATTACCTAAAAATGAACGATCAAGAGGAATCATACCTGGCATAGAAGTAGTGAAATCAATTATTAGATTTGTGTCACGCCTATTATATGGAGTCTCTTGATATGGATCATTTTGTCTTTGTTCATCCTCATCATGTTCACCATCATTTTCTTCACCTTCAATATTAACACCATCATCACCATTATTATTACTTGGTGGGCTTAAGTCACCACCATCATTATCACTATCTCCACCTTCCACATCTTCGTCATCTATATCAATTCGAGGCAACCACTCTAAATTTTGAACTCCATCTAAAAGTGGATTTTCTCTTTCTTCTATCCATGGAGATAATGGATCATTTTCTCGAAATATATGATCAAGATTAATTAGATTGAAACTTACTTCAATTTCTTCTTGACTTTTTCTCATTTGATGCCTCATTTTCAATTTCATGTTGTAATGTGTAAAGACAAGTTTTTGCAACTTTCTGTACTTAAGCCTATTCCTTGTCTTTGTATGAATATAGCTAAACGTACTCTAATTTCTTTCTCAATTTGTGGCTGAAGTTGTTTGACTTAAAAATTTAATAGCCACATGTTGAAGTTAAGGAGAGCATGAACCAAACATCAACCACCATTCAACTTTTTAAGAGATCAAGAAAAAAATTTAT